ATTTATTAAACGAAAAAGGGAAAATACAGTAAAACATTTTGGACATTACAATTATCATTTATTATTTATTATATTATTTATGGCATCAGTATGAGCCAATCAGTGGTAGTAATGACAGAGCATGCGCTGTTACACAAAAACCGCGATAGAGTGAAGCCGCGGAAGTTGAAGCGTGAAGTGGCAAGGTTCACTGTAATCTCTTTCACTGTGTATGGAGAAAATAAAATTCTAAAGGATAAATCCTTAAAGATTTAAAAATATTTATTCTTTGTGTTTAAAATCTCCATGCCCATGTTCTTTTAGCAAGGACTCCCCACACCCCCCTGCTGCCCCAGTGAAGCAATGCTCAGCTGCTTCTCCAAGAAAGGTTACAGACTGGTGGCCAAGAAAGCTATCAGATGACCTCTCTGGAGAGTGCACGAGGGTTCCCAATTGCCCTGGATAAGCAGTGACCATTTCCCTAGGATTGGAAGTGCTAACCAACAAATTTACCACGCTCAGCTGCTTACAGAAAGGCTGAGCTGCAAGTCTACCCAGAGTGCTGCATAGGAAAGGTATGGAGTGCTACTTCTGAAAAATCAACGTTGAAACCCTGTGGAGCACAATTCTACTCTGAGACCCAGGAGAGCGCTGTGAGTGCGAGTCCACTCAATGCTAACTACTGCTAGACTGGCTCGAAAGTTGCATGGCTCTAGTCTACTGAACTGTCTAAGCCAGTGGTTCTCAACCTTTCCAATGCCGCGACCCTTTAACACAGTTCCTCATGTTGTGGTGACCCCCGTACGTGGACGTATCTGCATGTGGGCGGACCCGCCTGGAGACAGATAGAGGAGGGTGTCTTGGTTCCTAAGACCATTGGAAATATGGTCTCAGGCGACCCCTGTGAAAGGGTCATTCGGTTCCCAAAGGGCTGGCGACCCACAGGTTGAGAACCGTTGGTCTAAGCAAAGCAGCAGAGGCATCTGACCTCCTCCAACTTCCCTATGGGGAGGAATCACCATCAGCGTCTGATCCCTGTGAAGCAGAGGTGAGCCAGTCCTATCTCATCTCGCCAACCAGGTGACCAATTCTGACACCTGCTGCCCTCCCTGAGCGCTCTATACTGGGTTTGAAAATTCATTCCGACAGCCACACACAACCCACAGGCTCAAGTTAGTGGGGTTTATTAGGGAAGTGCCAGGTTACAATTCAGGATCAGGAACAACTCAGGATGCAGCTTCTCTGCTATGCCCATAGGTAGGCCTCTCCCTGGCCCTCAGTTTCTCAGCACCTGGCTTTGGGTCTCTTGGGCTGACAGGGTCTCTGTCCTGCTCAGGCAAATTTTATAAAGCTCTTTAGCTCCACAGGTAAGTGTCCAGAGTGCCCTGTACTGCCTATGAGCCATGCCCTTTTACTCCGTGAGTTGGCTGATCCCAGTTCCAAGTGGAGGCACCCCATTCTGATAGCCAGCCTCCATCCAAAGACGCTCAGCTTTCTCACTCCATGGCCTGTGAAGTCCACTGCGCCATCTCCTGCCGGGAACCTGGCTCTGCCATGCCCATTTCTCTGCCGCTGCTTCTTGCCATCTCTGAGTCCAGTGTCAAAGCTCTGCTCCTGGGTCTAGCAGGTTCTCAGGGCAGGGATCCCAGGTCCAAAGGAAACACTGCACTCCTTGCTCTCCCTTCTTGGGGTATTGAGGCTCCAGCTCTGAGATGGTGCATTTTAAGCCTCTCCTCGCCAGCGGGTCAAAGCCCAACTATAGCCAGCCCAGCCATAGGTCAGGGAAGAATTGTCCCTGTGGGTTTCTGAGCTTGTAACTCTTTGCAGAGTAGAAAGCCTCGTCTTTCTCCTAGGGGTAAGCTGGTGGTTTCGAACTGCTGACCTTGTGGTCAGCAGCCCAACATGTTATGCATTTACACCCCCAGGGCTAAGCCTAGTGAGTTGCAAAACTGAATCCTCTCATTAGTGTTCCATACACTTTATTTGCATGGTCCCACCCACACAAGGGTACCAGGCTGTGGACGCCATTACAAGATGGCGCCGGACCGCGCCCGCATCGTCAGAGCTAAGCTGTAAACAAGCTTGTTGCGCATGCGCTGCCAGCCGCTCGCTACGCATTATCAAATTGCACCAATCCTGGTAGGACACGTCACCGAGCAGGGTATTTATACCCGGGGTTTTAG